CCAAATTAACAGAACTGTTTTCGAGATATTCAATTGAAACATGTTAAATAATTTTCAACAAAATCTAACACACCCTGTATCTAAACGAAAGGCAATATTGAACAACTGAATTCGCTCGTGAGTTTCCTCAGCTTTCATTCAATCAACAGTATCAATCAATCCCTTTCTTTGTGATCAAAAACAAGCTTTCAATTGTTTTCAGAAAGGGGTATAACTCAGGGTATAACACAAAATTCAAAGAATTCATATTTCGAACAGAGATAGTTATCAAGAATCAAAATACGTTTTCGAAGCCTACAATAGACTATAATGTCTCACCAAAATATAACTTGTTGGTTTTGGAATAGTGCTCGAATTTTTTTTTCTGAAAAATGAATTTTTTGACCGTGTCTCCTATACACCCTGATTTACTATAATTCATGTGATCATAACTAGACATGTATTTGAGTTCCGATCAATACATTTTCTAGCTTATTTTGTGTTATTTATACTAAAAAAACCGAGAAAAAAACAGTTTTTTTTTCGTCAATCCTACCCCGATACGACGGTTTTACGAACTTTGTAGGCTTATATCTCAGAAACTAAACATACAAAACTTTTCAAACTAACATATTTTTTTGATGAGCCATCCCTCAACAACATAGTCAAATTACAGCCAATTCGACCGAGAGACAATTTCCCGTGTTTTCGTGCGGGGTCCTTTCCATGGGGAATATCGAGTTTTTTCCATGGGAACGAATTCCAACGGATTCGAGAATCGGGCCCCTCTGGGGTAGCAGTGGAGGGGCGATATTCGCCCCACTCACATAGAACCTCACCTACATGTTGAATGATTGTCCAATGAACAAAAAAAAAATATTTGAAAGAATAATCAGAACCTACCAGTATCGAGTTTCAAATTATATAAAATACTATCAGCCAATTCTTCTAAGCAGTGTTCATCATTGAATGCTGGTTAATATATTCATGTTTATGATTCCTTGAAATAATAATGAAGTGAGTACCTATTATTATGTTTTTTGCAGTGGGTTGGTACCTACTTGGAGTATGAGTAATGAGATCTTAACGGATTTGAATTCTTCAATAGGTGTATAGGTAGGTGACTTAATCAAGGACTTAATATTATTCGAGATATTATTAATTCTTCAGAAAAGATTACATAATTATAAATATTTAAGGATGAAACTGAGAATTTCCTTTTTGGGTATGCAGTCATCTAATCCTGTCCTCTACTATAAATATTTATACAGGGTCTCCCTAGATCTAGAAGGTCTCTTTCATAATTTTTCTCTCGATTTTTCTCTGACTGACGGTAAAACTGCACTTATCATGCGATGGTTTTTTTCTCGAAAATTTTTTTTGGTAATTACGTATTTTTGTCTGAAAAGTGAAAAACACGAATTTGATAATGAAAATGTGAACACTATTTATCGAGATATTTGAAGAAAAAGTTCGAAATTTCGCCTTCTTTTTCCCTCTGTGTTGGATGCATTTAGAACTTGCTCTTCTCATTTTGTCATTGGACACTTTATATACTCATGATGTACTTCAATCAATGACACATTTCTATATAGAAAATTCAACAGGAAATATGATTTTTATGGCGGGTTGTTCATATTTAGAAGACGGCCATTTAATCAAAAGTCAATACAAATACGAGATGTCAAATGTCAACAGATTGCTCTTGAATGTCATTACACATTCCATTGTTTTAAATGATATTCTTCCTTCTTTTCACTAAATATGAATAAATCACAAGAAAATCATATTTATTTTCTAGTTCACTCATATAGGTAATAGAAAGAAATGTGTCATTGAAGTACATTGTGATATATATATTATTGTCCAATAATGAAAAAAGAAGGACTGATTGTTCTAAATGCGATCCAAAAGACAAGTGGAAAAGAAGGTAAAATTTGTAACTTCATGGTGAAATATCTCAATAAATAAGTAAGTAAGTAACATTTACAATTTTCGAGAAAAAACACACTACATGATAAGTGCAGTTTTACCCAATTTTCAACATCATAGGTACAAATCCTGGCAGAAATCCAACGCGACATAATCTTTGAGAGTTACTGTACCCACCTAGGTAGGTAAATAATAGGTAGGTACTATCAAACTAATCAGCTGCATTACACAATCTCAGTTTATGTTTTGTAAATGTTATATCATATCTAGATAGGTAGGTAATGAAAATATCAATGCCAGAGGCCAGAATAAATAATAAACAATAGGTATTTTGGTTCAATCTAACCTCAATTATAAGACAGTCAAGTTGTTTTTTTGGATGATGTGATGACGTCCAGTTTTTCTACCAGATAGTAAAATGGAAAATACTTACCTAATTTGTTGATAAGGTCAATACACCGCGAGATATGTGGAAACTGTAGGATTTTCCTCCACTTTTTGCTCTTCCCCTTGTTACTATCGGAACCACCTACAAGGCAAGAAAAAGCATGTTTTTAAGTAGTAACCTTAACCTTAGCCTTGCTGGGTCGAACTCATAACTTGCCATAACTCACCCTCTCTCGCTTTTAGATAAACGGTATTGGCAACTATGTTTTCTAATTCCATGAGTTCCAGCTTGAATGTTGTGTGAACCCGGCGATTCGGGTCGAAATTGACCCGTTTCCATTAATTCACAAAGTTCGCAACCGGAAAGGGGTGTCCCATGCACTTGTCTCGGCCACCGGTGATCGTATTCGACTGTTCGATTCACAGTTCCGCACCCTTGATCACTGCGAATTTCGAATCTACGCACACTGGATTAAAAATCGAAGAATACCTTAGCCCGTAGCCCACGTCCTGCCAGAGAGGACTTTGGGGTGTGTCTGGATCTAACCCTCGTACACTTTGCACCCTGATGTCGAAAGCACTGACGAAACCACTACTTTCTCTGCTGAATTTACACAAGCGATCGGCACGGCACACGCGTTTTCGTTATCCACAATGCGCCAGCTTCGGTCTCGGTGATGACTTGATGAGTGACAGGGACGGAAGGATTTGGAGAGAGATGAACAGCGCGCTGCTTCACCAGAGCGGGTTTTGCGTAAAACGTTACCATAGGCGTGGTAGGCGTACAATTTTTACGGGTAACGGGTGTGATTGTGAAACTTGATATCATCATGTTTTTGAGCATTTTTCTAGAAAGTGGGACATTACCAGATAATACGAGTGTTTCCGAACTGAAGATTTCATGATCAGGTAATATAACTGTTATCAAGTTTTCATCTTGTGTTACAGAGTGTCGTGAGAAATACGGAATACAAATGGTCATGAAAAAGTATCGTCTCTTTTATTTGAAACATATACAATGACTTATGGCAACTCTATTACAGCGAAGTTGATCAAAACATGTATCCTCTTCATTACTGCTGCATTTAATTTCATCACAGAGATGTTCCAATCCTAACAAGAACCATTCGATAATATAATATATAATCCTAATTTAATCCACAGGCGCATGTCTTCCATACGAATCGCAGAAGGATATACAGGGTCCGGACGAATTAATAGGGACAGTATTGCTATCTCCTAAACGGTAAGATATAGAAAAATGGTTATATTTGACAAAAGTTGCGTAATTTGCACCTCTTCAATATGCCGTTTCACAAAATGAAAAAAAAATCATCTGTTCCTACTATATTTCGAAATTACTGAAAATCGCTGATTTTGTTTTCATTCATTTTCTCAGTTAATATTCGATAAAAACATATGAAAATTTGTGTGATTAGGTATTTAATCAAGACAAAGAAGTAGAAATCATCAGAAATATTCTATCTTCATCAGTTTCAGAGATATACTATGCAACTTTTGTTTTTCTTATGGGCGCCATATATGTTTTTAAACCACTCAATAGGGCTGAAAATTCATGAAGTTGAATTGAAGTTGAGAAGTAAAGTAATTCTATTGTTCTGGTATATTATAATGAGACTCATTATGTTGATTCATTCATTTATTGGTCCTATTTTATATCTATACTAAAATTTAACATAAATATAAATTACAAATACAATATGAGAGCTCTGATATAATTCATTACCATTAAACCATCGATTAAAATACACAGAGGGTATCGAAGAACATATGCCATCGCTCATGGAATGACTTCTTACCCAAAAATGAATATAATGAAAATATGCATCAACATGAGTTCTTGTTTTCCAGATATCGAATATATTAATAGTGATTTAAAGGAATTTGATGTCTCAATATCTTTAGGAGAAGAAACGTCTTGCATCGGATATCTCAAAGAAGAATAGAGGATCTATAATGAAAACTTGTGTAATTTCAACACTACTAGAGACATTCGGTTTATGGGAATATGCATAATAATGAATAATCATAATGAAGAAGTGCATTTCTGTTCAGTCCTTCTATGAATTTTCATGATCATTGTATTGAAAAACATTTGTAGATATATTGTTTTTGAGATTAAAATTTTGCAATTTTCCTGCTATCTAGTACATCCATCTATGACATATATGTCCTATATGTTTCTATACTTGTATATAATAAATATTTGTGAATTGAAGAAATGATCGAAAGTATGATGAAAATATTGGATTTCAAAAAATAAAAATATATTAATATTTCATTATTAATACGATGTGAATTCAAAATAAGATAATGAAGGCTTGATACGTGAAGGGACACGATAGGATTCTTTTTCAGCTGATTCGATGTCTTTGAAGATTTCATTCTCAATTAGAAAATTGAAAATAATTATTTTTGTTCATTCATAATATCTTTCATATATCTACGATCATTTTTAACAATGTTCTGTATAGCATACCACACCTACCCTACGCCACTGGTCTGGGGAGAAGTGAACTTCAAGAAGAAGAATAAAGAGGCAAATTCAAATTCATCTTCCCACTTTTTCAGCAGATAGTGAGATAGATGACAGATTTGCTTGTTTTGTGATTGTGTGCTTGTCTTCTTAATAATCGAGAAATCAAAGGAAAACAGCTAACAACAACAAATCAGCCGAAATATCAAGTGCCATCTGTCACTACAATCGCTTTATAAACATAATTAGTGTGGAGCAAGAGCGCTGGCCACAAAAATGATCGCACAATATCACTATTCCTAGAAGACGAGTGATGCCGCTGGTGTTTTTCTGGTTGCAGCCTTGTTGGCGTTTGAAAGTCTGTAACGAAACAAAAGCAGTCATGAGTATAATAAATATATTGATATTGATAATGATATTGATAAATATTGTAAACATAGTGGAACTCGTGATTACGTTGAATAATTATAATAATGATGATACAATGAGATTTTCTTGTTAAATATCACCCAGATATTGATGCGCACGAAAAATTTTAAGCGCTTGCCATATGGAACTGTGGAAAAATGGAAAATATGATTGCTCATTTTTTCTCCTTGTAGGTAGTAGCACATCTGTGGTGGTAGGTAGGTATGTTTCTCGTATCGAATTAGCCAAGCTAAGTAAATAAGTAAGTAATAGGAATTATTGAGGGAGCAAACATTAGTGATAAATTCTTGGAATCTTGGAAGATCTCTATCCCAGTATTATTGTAGAAACGAGATTAACAACGTCTTCACAGAAAAGCCCACATATGTATGAATGTGTACCTACTGAATCGTCAATAACATTATAGTAGTAAGAATAATGATTATTTTTGTGATAGCTTCAACGAGTGTTTTCCTCGTATATAATCACCCGTATACCCTTGATTATATACACTAGTATGCGTATGATTTTTAGGTGCCCCTTCCAGGGATAATTACATACCTAGTTCTTCCACCAGGAAAATAGTTACTTGTTTTACTAGGCAGAAAAGCACAAGATTTAATGCCGCGGCCGGCGTTTCATAGATAGCCAAGGCGTATCCGAGGCTAGGAAACCAACCAAGGCATTAAATCTGCTTTTCTGCCGTGTGAAACATATAGTTTTTTCTCCAGATTCGTTGAATTTCATTTTGTGTTCATCCAACGTCAGTGTCAATTTTGATTACCAATTTGATTTGAATTATTACTTGGAACGTTGCATACCACAGAACTTTTTCTGCATTTTAAGTGTCATTACAACGACACGTTGAATGTCATTTGGAGAAAATAGTTATTTTTCTGCAACCATCACAAAAGTCGTCCATTTTGATACCAAAATTAGCTCTTGAATTGACGTTTCTATTACTGAAACAAAAATAGGTATGTTGCTAGGCAACACATTCAGTAAGTTGAACTTTAGTTCCTAGGTGCTGATGTTGAACTTTAGGTCCTAGGAACTAAAAGGGATGTACTACACAGTCCACTAGAGGTCATCAAGAATAAACGACATTGGTTGGTTATTTGGGTTGGAACGCATACCTGATTTGTTTGCAATTTCGACAAATTTGGCATTTCATACTCATGCTGGAGATATACATACACCTTAGTATAGTCTTTGAGTATTCACACTAGTGAATATAATCAAGGGTTTGGTTGAGTATTTTTGTTTTAATCAGGAAAGCCTTCAAATTCACATACTTGCTTGATCTGTATTTCATTCGTTATTCTCGGGACGGATAACTTGTTTTTGAATAATCACGGCCAGCAATAGTGTTTTGTCTTAAACAACGATCTTGTTTAAATACCATTGATTATCAAGCCAAACACAGTGGAGTATGGGGAAAAATAAATAATCGCTATTATTATTGTTGATATGCTCACTAACCTAACATTTTCCACGTCTTGTTCCTATACCTGGCACTGGCGCGGTATTTGCCATTAGAGCATCTTGTCCATACACAAATATGTCACTCTGTGGTTGTATTTATATTTTAACTACAATTTGTTGCATTGGATACATATGGCACGGCATTGGTGGTTACTTCACATATTTATTCGAGTTAATTGTTTCGGTTGCAGCAAAAATTGCATGTTTCATTCGGATAAAAAGTGACTTTGTTTGACTCGCAAATCTTGCTTCCGCTTGGCTTCGCTAAACGCTCCGCCTCGCAAATACAAAATTCGCTTGTCAATTTTGATCCTTATAAAACAATCTACTATTATTGAGTATGCGAGAAGGCTTCCTCTTCACCTGTATCGAGTTCGTAGGCCGGCATGCGGCACCCCAGCGCCCAAGCCACTCTGGCCGCCTCCCCAGCGAACTTCCTCAACGCCTGGCATCCCCCCAGGCAGCCGTACTCCTTGAGCGCCTCGCACACCAGCCCCATCACCTGGTCCTCGGCCTCCTGGAGGGGCAGTGCCTCCTGCGCAGCGGCCAGGCAACGCAGCGCTTCCCTGCGCAGCGGCAGCGAGGCGGAGCAGCGCGGGTCGACGTGCAGCGCGCGACAGGCCTGCAGGAGCTTGTGGTCGCGCAGGGACTTGCAGGTGCGGAAGGCCAGCTGGAAATCACGATGTGGTTACAGTATACATGGGTACTTATACTTCTTGGGTGGGTTTATATCTACATAGTGACCCTTTTGAAAGCAATCAATGGAACGCCAAAATAGGTCGAATAGGGGGAAAATCCAGTAGTCTCAAATGTTCGTAGTAGTGAAGGGAAATGTCATGAATAGATTGTTTGATGGTAATTTTTCCAAGTCATTCTCGAATAACTTGTAAATTGCGGCCTCTATCTATGATATCTATAAAAAAGGCATTCAGTTTTTGTCTACAATGGATAGTTGAGACAATAACTTCTCAAGATAAAGCTATGAAAGAATAGGCATTAAAGATATTTTGTTGAAAGTTTGGTGTTATATCCACGATATCGTTCGAGTTGGGTCATTTTGCTTATAGCCTAATGTAGGGTTCCTTGATACAAACTGCAAACTGACGTATTTGTCATCTTAACAGTTTGTGAATCAGTTATATAAAGTTCCATCCTCATTCAATTCTGGAATAAACACTAGACTTTTGACATTTGTTGTTTTTTAGGTTATAATGAGGTCATTGGCGTATCATACATAATGTCCATATGGTATTCCTGAATCAACTATACCAAGATGTACATGAACAATCCTTCAGTTTTAGAGTTTACTACTCCAGTATAATTTTTGCGAGGTAGGAAACATATAAATTGTAATGGAAGCTTAATACACTAAGTTCCAAAAAAAGTGACGCACTTGATATTTGACCTATCTTCTTAAAAAAAAAATAGGCCGATTTTTATTATTTTTCATTTGTTGGTAGGTAATGCATTTGTCTAAAAAAAAAAATAAAGAGGTGACATTTTTTTCAAAGCCTCCTTGATGATGGTGGAATAACTCGAACCATGATTTATTCAAAATTTTTGACTCATCCTGTGTGTTAATTGAGTAATGGTATACAAAGTGCTTACACCCTATACGAAAGAGGCTTCTTTTGCGAGCATTTTGTTTTTGTATTCATTGATTTATCTCTAAAATTTTCCGAATTACAGCATTTTTGCTGATACCTTACGCTTATCCCACGAATTAAATTTATTGAAGGATCAGAGTACTCAATGTTGATTGGGTTGTACTCTGGTAGGATCACACCTTCTTCAGAAAAACAAATGCCGTTGCCATAGCGACTAATTTGTTGTATGCCTCCATATTTGACCATTTGTCGTTGTGTCATTAATTAAGTGTCTTGTTTTATTGATTGAAATTACATAAAATGCCTCAAATAAATCCTGAACAACTAGCAAGATCAGTTGCGTTAGTAAACGATGGGCGTAGTAAACGTTACGCCGCTCGTGCAGTGGGAGTTCATGAAGCAACTGCTCGTAGAGCAATCCGCAAGTACGAACACCGCTCGGAGGGTCGGTTCTGGTCGCCCCCGAAAAATTTCTCCAAGAGATGATCGCTTCTTGAGATTGCGGATTTTACGGAATCGATCAAATACTGCGGTAAATGTTCAGCCAGATCTTCGCCAAATTCGTGATGTTGCAGTAAGTAAGCAGACGGTATGTAGACGTCTAAAAGAAGTTGATTTGAAAGCTAGGTGACCTGCAAAAGGTCCCAAATTATTGCCCGAACATCGTGCTGCTAGAAGAAATTTTGTTGAAAATTATGGACAGTGGAATATTCCTGAATGGTCGAATGTCTTGTTAACGGATGAGTCTAGGTTTTGCCTCAACATGGTGGATGGAAGAAAAAGAGTGTGGAGAAGAACTGATGAACGGTTTGATCAAAATTCAATAACAGAATGCGAAAGTTTTAATGGTGGGTCCGTTATGGTGTGGGGAGGGATTTCAATGAATGGAAAGACACCCCTTCATATTTTTCCGGTGAGGCAGTCGATGAATGCCCAAATTTACATTGGCATTTTAGAGCAGTATGTCTCACCTTATGCAGAGTTAGTGGGCAATAATTTTATATTGATGCAGGATAATACCCGACCACACACCGCAGCAATAGTGCGAAACTTCTTAGAAGCTACTGGTATTACCACATTACAATGGCCTGCGAGAAGCCCCGATATGAATCCTATAGAACATTTGTGGAAAGAATTAGGGAGAAGGGTACGTTCTCGCGAGAGGTCTCCGGAAAGTCTCGCAGAAATGGCAGATGCATTAGTGGAAGAATGGGATCGTATACCAATGGAAACGATAAGCAACTCAATTTCCAGTATGCCTCGTAGATTAGAAGTTCTTAGAGTTGCTAGAGGAGGCAATACACGTATTAAGCAGTCATCCCAATTTATAATTTTGTGTTTAATGAAAATGTTTTTTTAAATTATTGGTGTCAGTTTATTTCATTAGAAAATGGTTTCTCGATAAATTCAGAAAATTGGTAATCTGGAAGGATTCAGCAAAAAAAGCTGTAATTCGGGAAATTTTAGCGATGAATCAATGAATAAGAAAACAAAATGCTCGCAAAAGAAGCCTCTTTCGTATAGGGTATAAGCACTTTCTATGCTATTACTCAATCAACACACAGGGTGAGTCAAAAATTAAGAATAAATCATGGTTCGAGTTATTCCACCACCATCAAGGAGGCTTTGGACAAATTTTCACCTCTTGATTTTTTACCTACCAACAAATAAAAAAAAATAAAAATCGGCCTACTATTTTTTTTTTAACAAGATAGGTCAAATATCAAGTGCGTCACTTTATTTGGAACTGAGTGTATATTTCACCAGAAGAGACTGCAGCTATGATCTGTCCGTACCCTGTTAAGATGACTTTAATGTCAATTTTCATCAAGTTGAATTGACGTTATAGTGACCTGTGTGTGTAACAAGTGTCAAACGCTGCTGTAAAGCAACGAAAATTCACGAGTAGGTAGGAGGAAAAGGAGGAACAGTTTTTGGAACTGTCTTCGTCATATTGACATACAATTGACAGACAATCATTAGTCATCAACAGTTTATCGAGAACATTAATATGTTTGTTGAGAAGTATATAGATTCAATATTTCCCCTATCCTTACCTCCTATTCGAAATGAACTGGGTTGACTCTGCGGGAAAATTTATGTTCTCCACACAAAGTTTACGTCCCAGGTGTGAGTATGAAAGTTTGACAGTATCGTGGGGTATTTCGATTGAAAACTGAAGTCTGGGGGATTGGGGAATCGAGTTTCGCTGCGAGGGTGGCGCAAAGTTGTTGAATAGAACTCTGAATCAATTTACGAATGGAATGGTGTCTGTGAGCATTGCTGGAAATTTCGAGACGCAAATTATTGAGTTATGTGCTCAGAGGCGGCGGATCCCTGTTTTTCTTCAAGTGGAATGAATCTTCCACCTCCTCAATTGATCTATCGGGTGGTCACAAAAAAACCGGAAATTTTTATTTTCCTCGTGGTTTCATCATTTGTCAACCGAATTCGAATTTCTTGGCGTCGTTTCATAGCTAAAGGGCTATAGTATACAGTGGAATATTTGAAAATTTCATGATAAACAAAAACAGAATGGCGGATTTTACCAAAGTATTGTCATTTACAAAAACCGCTGGAGAAAAATAAAATCAGATTTTTTTCAATCTGTACCGATGTCATCTTAGGCTATTCATTTCTGAAGAGAATGAGTACTCGAACATCGAAATCGAACAAATAGTCCAGTAGATACACTCATTTCTTTGCAATTCAGGCTTCATGAAAATTCAATCGAATTTAGATTTCCTAGAGTCATTTCGAAGATAAATGGAATGGCATTAAGAAATCCAAATTCGATTGAATTCTGATAAAGCCAGAAGCAAACCAAAAGTAATTCTTAACACGGATTGGCACATTCACTCCATAACACTTCGCCAAAAAGAACGTGTTTCTCCTGGACTTATTGTTCGATTCGGAAGTTCGAGTGCTCATTCTTTTTAGAAATCAATGATCTGAAATTGCATCGGTCCTGATTGGAAGAATAAACATTTTTTTATTCGCTAGAGATTTTTGAAAATCACAAAAATTCTGGATACTCCACCATTTTGTTTCTTTCAATTATTGGATTTTCAAATGTTCCATTGTGTACTACAGTTCTTCATCTTCGAAATAACTCTAAGAAACCCAAATTCATTTGAATTTTCATGAAGCCTGAAGCAAAATATTAATAATCGTTTATATGAGATTAGCACATTCACTCCATAACAAATTGCAAAGAAATGAGTGTATCTACTGGACTATTTGTTCGATTTCGATGTTCGAGTACTCATTCGCTTCAGAAATAAATAGTCTAAGATGACATCGGTACAGGTTGGATAAAATCTGATTCTCTTTATCTCCAGCGGTTTTTGTAAATAACAATACTTTGGTAGAATCCGCCATTTTGTTTTTGCTCATCATGAAATTTTCGAATACTCCACTGTATACTATAGCCCTTCAGCTATGAAACGACGCCAAGAAATTCGAATTCGGTTGAGAAATGATGAAACCACCAGGAAAATAAAAACTTCCGTTTTTTTTGTGACCACCCGATACAGCCAGTATTCAATATATTTATTCATGAGGAATCGAACGACGTTCGAGATTTACTAATGTTGCTACTCATCCTATTAGACCACCCACAGAAATTGGTTGAGAATTTGAATCCTAGAGATTTCACGTTGGATTATAAAGGGTGTCCCCTAATTAGTCTGCCAAACTTCACCAACAAGTTCCGATACTCATGAGTCGAGAAATGGCTCATCGCCAATGTGCCATTGAAAAACGCTAAAAAAAAGTTAGATCATGAAAAAATGCACCGCAGGCGAGAATTTCTCGAAATCTAGCTCATTTCTAGCTTTTCCAATACCTAGTTCATACTGTTTACCACTCGTCGCACTGGTATGGTCTGGAATTCATCCGCACCCAGCATTTTTTGTCTCTGTTCATCACGAGTGATTTTAAATGATGCATATATATGTATACACAGTGAAAAATTTCCGGGTGTAATTTCAACCGTGTGGATTTCAGAAATAACTCCGATTGAATCAACACTTGATTAGCAATTCCATACCAATTTTATTAG